GTAAAGTGAAGGATGCAAAAAACTAAACTATTTCAGGGAAGTGAAGTTGGTTTACACTTTACTAAACTAGCTACAATTTTTAATGTAGAATTAAGAGACGTATTACATTATGTAGCATGATCAAGCTTTTCACTCACTAATCTTTCAAATGAAATAAATTTCTCTACATGTTTTTTTTAATCAGGTACTATATGTAAATAATTGAACTTATGAACCTTCTCTCTAAAATATGATTTACTTTGACTGAAATTTCCAACACTCATCACTAAACTTGGTTTCATTTTGGGTTATGATGTCCTTTAATTCATTATAAAACRAAGTGTGAGTGCTCTGTTGAGACATAACCAGAGGACAACCAGTTCTGTTAGAATTATATGGATTAGAGATTATTATTTTTTTGTCATTAAGGCACCTCAGTGAGGCATATACATGTAAACAAAGTCTCTCTTATCTCTTCTCTTTACAGAACATCATAGCGGAACATGAGATTCGCAACATTTCATGTGCTGCTCAGGATCCAGAAGATCTGTCAACGTTTGCCTACATCACCAAAGACCTCAAATCCAGTCACCACTACTGCCAYGTCTTTACTGCTTTTGATGTGGTCAGTGCTGACTCTCTGGGTTTACAGGCACATCGGACTTTAACTTTGGATTCTCACAGCTGTTTGCTTTTCACATCTCGTTAGAATCTGGCCTATGAGATCATTCTGACACTTGGCCAGGCCTTTGAGGTGGCCTACCAGCTGGCCCTGCAAGCCAGGAAGAGTGGCCACGGATCGTCAACGCTCCCGGAGAGCTTTGATAGCAAGCCCAGCAAACCTGTCCCCAAACCTCGCATCAACATCCGCAAATCAGTAAGCATCAGTGCAGCACCAGTACTGACAGAGAAAATCCATCCTGGAGGTTCTCCAGACCATCAATCATAGATTTCAGCTTTAATACRCTGTGAAGGAATCATGAAGAGTTACACTTGTAAACAAGATCAGTATTTTCTTTTGGGATGGATTTTCACTTCTCTTTGCTTCTTTAACCTTAAACTCAAGTTTAACATATTTTTTTAGTTTTAGCTTCTGATCAACACTAACCAGCATTCCATTAACACACATTTTCACTTAAATCAGTCCATAAATATGACCCATTCCAGTCTATTGTCCCCACACATTTTTATCATATTCCACTTGTTGTTAGCATTATCCTGGCTGCTTGTGTCTTTTTCTGTGTGTCCTGGCCCAGCGGACAAAGTGGCAAAGGTCTATGTGGGTATTTGATCTGTTAAGCGTCTGCTTGGTCTCGCTCTCCCTGCAGCCTCTTCCAGCTTTGGCTGATTGATGAAGCTGGTTTGCATTGTGCTCCAGGGAGGCCGGCTAGCTCACTCTGGGTTTGTGAGAGTCAGTGTGTTGATGTTTTAGGAGGATAAAGTATACTCRCATGAACGGCTGCTAAGAGCTAAAGCGATGTATGGAGAATGATATTCCAGTCCATCAGAGACACTGCTGTAGTGTGCAGAGTGATTCAGAATATGATTGTCTCTTCAAGCTTCCTGTTATCCCATTTGTTGTTGCAGTAATCCATAAAAAAAGRTTAGTGCCTCTACAGGAAAAATCTAAATGTTTTGCCCAAAATTTGAACCAACTCTGCAGACTTCCCTCCTCGTTCARTACATCATCTGACTGAGGAGTGTCTGTCTGAAGGAGCCAGTTTCAGATATCTGTGACAGTAGGCTTAAAACAATTTTTTAGATCTCTATATCTGTAAAATGTGAGTCATGAAAGAGACGACGGTGGTGGGTACAGAGGAATGAGCTCACTTTCTAAAGTTAGATGCAAGATGGTGATGAAAGAGTATCCTGAAGAGAAAAAGTAGACCTCATGCAGAATCTGAGAGTGGTTGTATGCCTACAGTGATGATGGACGATGGCATGTGTACACACAGTCTGCTGAGTCGGCATCCATTACATTAACCATTAATTGCCTTTTTTTTCCTTCCCTGTGTTCTTATATGAGTGTATATGGAGGAGTTAATGACTTGTGGTGTGCAGCAGGGCAAAGATGCTGCAGGATTCACTTAATATTCCTGCCACCAACCAGCCATAATCACCATTCTGCGGCATCTCCTTATGCTTTACAGTGAAATAGGTGCTTTGTTTCAGTTCGTACAACACCGTAAGGGATGTTAGATTGGTTCTTTAATTGCAATTTCTCTTAAACAGAATTTAAAAAAACTTCTCTTACTTGCTCACAAACTTTATTTCCAACTACTGGTAACTAATTTGTGGATATTTTAGTCTTAATTATAAAGCAAGAACTTCAGTAAAACCTGGAATCCACTCTGTGTTGAAACCATTTGAGGCAGTTTGGGAAACATGTTAGTATATTTTGTTGGCAAACCAAATTTAGGAGAAGGGGCATTTGATTTTATCTAGCAGGAAGAGATTCAAAAGCTCCCAGGAGAAACAGGAATCTGTTGCTCAAGAGGAGGACATCTGAATACCTGCTATGGCTGCACCTTAAATCAAGCATCACAGTGAAGCTGCACTACTGAGTGTATTTAGCAAACGATCTGATGCAGCTAGTTTGTCACAGGTGGTGCTTTTAGGCTCTTTTCTTGCTGCAAATTTTACTTAACATATAATGTGAAATTTAGCCCTAAATATTTTATTTGCACTTTACTCATTTATGGCAATAATTTTGCATCAGTATATAAATATAAATATACATATATACATACATTGATTTGAATAATAAACACAACCAAAGTATTTATAGGTTTTGTGTCCAAATATTGCATTAGTCACTGTGCCAAACTCTTACTGGTGGGAGTGTTGTTGCTAGATTACTGTGGCGTATCATTGCCTTTTCCAGCTCCAGTTTTCCTGAGCTGCAGTGATGCTGCTGTCCCACGCTGTTGCCAGGGCGATCATGTTGTTGCCATGGTTTTTTGCTGTGGTTTTGGAGTGCTGTTGCCTTTTTCCTTGTTGCCATGCAGATGCTGTGTCTTTGCTGTGGTTTTTGCCGTGCTGCTATGTTGATGTCAGTGATGTTGAGCTAGCTCACTTTGACGAGTATGACCTCTGCCCTTGTAGGTCATCAAATCTCCCACCAGCCGCTGGTCACTGGGTCACATTTACACCCCTCACCGGCCTCCTCTCTACCCTCCTCTTCCACCCCCTCGACTCTTCCATCTTCCTCACAAAGCTCAGTTCCAGGTCTTCCACACTTTTCCTTCTTCTGTTCTTCATTTCCACATTTATTTTAAGTAGATAACCACAGGTGGTTCACTTTTACAGTGGGTAAAATAAGTATTGAACACGTCACCATTTTTCTCAGTAAATATATTACTAGAGGTGCTAATGACATGAAATTTTCACCAGAT